GCTGGCTGTGCTCTACAGTGGGGTGGGAGGCAGTAGTACTGAGGTGGGCTAAGCACATTCTCTGCAGGGGAGAAAGCGGGGTCGGAAGCCCTTGGTGTGGGCACTGCTGTCCATGCTCAGTCACTAAGCCTGGGCCGGGGAACAGCTCAGCTGCGAGTCCTGAAATCTTGGAATGGAAGTGGTGAGCCAGCCTTTCTTGTGTGCCTGCTTTTCGTGCTTTGCACATCAAGTGTCTCTTATAACCTTCACAACAGCCTGGCAAGGTCCAATCTCCATTGCGCATATGAGGAAACCGAGGCTCCCATCCTCTGCAAAATGAAGTTCAGACTTCTTTGTCTATGTCATGAGCTCTTTTTTGGTTTATGGTTTTTTGTTTTTGTTTTTGTTTTTGAGACGGGGTCTCACTCTTTCGCCCAGACTGGAGTGAAGTAGTGCGATCTCAGCTCACTACAGCCTCTGCTCAAGCAATTCTCCTGCCTCAGCCTCCTGAGTTGCTAGGATTACAGATTCGCACCACCACACCCAACTAATTTTTGTATTTTTAGTAGAGAGAGTGTTTTGCCATGTTCACCAGGCTGGTCTTGAACTCCTGACATCAAGTGATCCGCCTGTCTCGGCCTCCCAAAGTGCTGGGATTACAGGTGTGAGCGACTGCACCTGGCCTTGTGTCATGAGCTCTTGAAGGTCTGGCCCTGCCTACCACTTTGGCCTGATTTCTGGCCATACCCTCACCTCTGGCCCCATTCCCCACTCTGGAGCTGGCCCCAAAGCCTAGTTTCCTGGAATGTGCCACGTGGTTCTGCATCCATGAATAGCTTATGCTAGGTAAGAGAATGCTTCGAATGCCATTCTCGAATGCCTTTCTCTCCCTTCTCACTCCCTTGGCCAACTCATGCTCAACTACTTGCAGAGCTTCCTGGCTCCCCTCAGGCATCATCACAGGGACCCTGGCACCCGCCCTGTATTATCAGTAAATGCTCACTGCCTGACTCCTCCGGGAGTCTGTGACCTCACTGAAGGCAGAGCCTGGCCTGTCTGGCCTTGTGTCTCTTATAGCCAGCACAGGACCAGCTCACAGCAGCTGCTCAGTAGCTGTCTGGAAAGGGAGCGTTGTGTGGTTGAAGTTAACTGGTCCAGGGTCAGGATTGGATGTCAGGACTGTCTGACCACGGCACCCTGTGTAGTGTTATCAGCAGGCTCGGGTTTGGGGACCAGAGCTGGGTTTGAGGTGGACTCACTGTTACCTTGAGCTAGTAACTGTCCAAGTCTCAGATCCCTTGTGTGTATCATGTGAAGTGAGACTGGTGACAAGTAAGGGCATTCATTGTGGCCGGGAGCGAGGATAGCCTGCACCGCTGGCCCTGGAGCCACTCAAGGGGTGGAAACAACCTTGCACAGGCCAGGCCTCTTGGTGGCTTTTTCCAGGCCTCCTTTCCAACAGGGAAATAGGTGCCTGCCGGATACCTAGCATGAATCAGTTTGTCCGCATGGCACAGGGATCTTGCCGAGGGCTGGCCTGGCCCCAGCCACTACGCTAACTCACACTTTTCTCCTCACTTCCTCCCTTGCTGCACGTGGCCACCAGTGTTGGCTGCCCAGAGGCATGTGCCTCTGTCCCCTTGCACAGACAGACCTGGGTGGGATGGGCAGCATGGGGTCGGGGGACGAAGTGATGTAAAGAGACACAGGTCGCCTCCCCATGCTCCTCCTCTCCCCTGGATCAGGTGAGGGGCCCCAGGGAGTGGGTGAGACCCTACCACCTCGGGCTGCGGGCAGAGCAAGAGCAGATGGGTTAGGAATTAGGTTGCTGATTTGGGGTTTTGTTCCCCACTTTTTTTTTTTTTTTTTTTTAATTTATGAGATGGAGTCTCGCTCTGTCGCCCAGGTGATCTTGGCTCACTGCAAGCTCTGCCTCCCAGGTTCACGCCTACCTCAGCCTCCCGAGTAGCTGGGACTACAGGCGCCCACCACCACACCCAGCTAATTTTTTGTATTTTTAGTAGAGACGAGGTTTCACCATGTTAGCCAGGATGGTCTTGATCTCCTGACCTCGTGATCCACCCACCTCGGCCTCCCAAAGTGCTGGGATTACAGGCATGAGCCACCACACCTGGCCTGTCCCCCTTTTTTTTTGTACAACTCACATACCATAAAATTCATAAAAACTTTTAAAGTATACTATAGAGTAACTGTTAGTATTTTGACAAGATAATACAACCATCACTACTAATTTCAGAACATTTTCATGACCCCAGAAAGAAGCCCTATACGTACCCTGCACCCGTTAGGAGTCACTCCCCATGCCTCCCTCCCCACAGCCCCTGGCAACCACAAATCCACCCTGTGTCTATGTGGATTTCCTGTTAATGGAGTCATCATACAGGGTGTGGACTTCGTGACTGACTTCTTGGCAGGTTTTTTCAAGGTTCATCCACATGTAGCAGGTACTTCATTTCTTTTAATTACCAAATAATATTCCCTGATGTGGATGTGCCACGTTCCATCTCTTCGTGTCTCCACTGCAGGGCCTTTGGGTTATTTCCATTTTCTAGCTATTAGGAAAAATGCCGCTGTGAGCGTTTATATATAAGTTTGATGTGCACAGACATTTGCTGTTCTCTTGGTAACTGCCTAGGAGTGGGAGTATACCTATGGCAGCTCTCTGGGTAACTGTTTGAGGAGCTGTTGGCTTGACTCTTGCTCGCTGTTTAATTTTGGGTGAGTCATTCCCCCACCCTCCCCCCAACTCCATTTCCTGGTCTCAAGTCCCCTCCCTGGCCGTGCTTGGCCAGTCAAGCAAGCATTGGGGCGCGTGGCCTCTGTACATCCTGCCGTGGCGGGTGTGCAGGGGCTGAATCGGGTGGGACCTCGGCGTCATATATTGCTGTGCCACTTTCCCATCCTGGCTTCTGCCCTGTGTCTTTCTTCTTTGGCTGAAGCAAAGAATCCCTGGAGGCTCTGTCCTCAGTGGGAGTAGAGGCCTTGGCCCTCCCTGCTTCTAGGCTGAGACCCGCCCAGGGATCCCCGGCTCCCGGCGTGGGTGCAGGGGCACCCCTTGCTTCTGCCATATGACTGGGCTGTGTGGCAGCCGTGTGTCTCAGCCACGTGGATTCATCAGCTCTCCATTCTGTGTGCCAGGCCAAGGGCAGGGGTGGCTGTGACTCACCTGTACAGCCCCAGAATCCAGCGCAGCCACTGGCACAGAGCAGGGGCTCAGGGGCCCACAGACATCCCAGTCTCCATGAGTGGGAGAGGGACAAAGGGAAGTACAGAATTGGACAGTAGGAGGCGGGTCTGTGAGAGTGAGCACCGGCTCCTGCCTGGATGAGGCTGGGAGATTGCGTGCCAACATGTGACGCTGTTTGAAGACTGAGGGGCGGGAATGGGTGAGCAAGCAAAGGGGTTCCCGGCCAGGTGTGCCAGGGCTGGCCTAGAGGAACCAAGAGGAGAAGTGACAATTGGGCAGTGTGGGGGAGGCACTGGCACTGTGTTTGCATTGACAGGAACAGCTTTCAAGGGGGTAGGCCTTATCTTGTTTGTTTTCGAGATAAAATTTGCCCTTTTGAAGCATAGAATTCACTGGCTTTTCGTATATTCACAAGCTTTTTGCAGTCATCACCCCAGTCTAATTCCAGAACATTTTAATCCCTCAGTAGGAGCCCTACAGTGCTAACCTTATCTTGTATTCCCATATTCCAGCCACCTGGCCAGTCTTGGCCCATGTGGCCCTGCCCATCAGGCTCTGTCCCACTTCCCCTGGTCTAGGACTGAAGCCCCCGGTTGCTGTGGTTATTCTTGGCCTGGGCTCAGAATAGCCCAGGAAGAGACGCAGGCAACCACCCATTCAACTTATGTTTGTTGGGCGTCTGCTGGGCACAGGGCAGTCCGGAGATACACCTTTTGGGGGGACAGGCACAGTCCCTAGCCCAGAGCAAGAGAGGAGTGAGGGGCAGAAAGAGCAGGTGACCACCTGCAGTGTGAGGAGTTCCCTTCAGGACAAGCACAGCCAGCAGAAGGTGGTCAGGAAGCCTCAGCAACCCCTGGGGCAGGTGCATACACACACACACACACACGCACACGCACAGTGAAGCCCCTGCCACAGGGCAGGGCCCCGGCCCCTTTCCCTACTGCCCATTGCAGCAGAGTGGTGGGCTGGACTTTGCCACCATGCCAGCTCTTGGTGCCAGGCAAAGATGGGTGCTGTGCGAGGAGAGGCAGCTTCTAAGGATACAGGGGCTGTAGAGCAACCCTGGGGACATTGTGACACAGCGCTGACCTGCACTCACACTCAGCGCTGGCCCCACGCCCTCCTCTGCCTCTGTCTCAGAAGAACTCAGCAGGCAGGTGGTCAGGCTGGGGCCTTGCCCCACCCAAATCTGTGCAGGGACACTTTAGAGCCACCGAGGACCACCTGACATGTCCGGACATTAGGAAGTCCTTTACCTTGGAGACCAGAGTAGCATGCCACATGTAGAGGGCCCTTTAGGGTCTGCAGTGGCCTGGTGTCACCTCTGCAGAAGAAGCTGTTCTGTGGCCTGATGGTGGGTGGGGCCGTGGCTGCTCCACAGAGTGGACACAGTGGAATATGGCCTGGAGGGCACTTTGGGAATCTTATGCAGCCTGGGGGCCTTTAAATGCACACTGTGCAGACAACACCCTGCTTCCTGAGTCCTGTGACTCCCAGGGACCCTCAGAACCCTGTTCAAGGGACCCAAGAGGAGAGGGATCATGAGGAAGCTGACTCATTGAACCTCGGATTCCAGTTTCCTTCCCCCAGAGGCCCCATTCACTGCAGTCTGTGTTCCCTTCGATCTGGATCCTTTGTTTCACTTTTCTGAGCATGCCCCAGCTGTGGCCTTAGTGGCTCTTCCCAGCCTGCTGTCATCTGCAGACCCCTCCCCACCTCTGCAGGTGGCTCTGTGCCACCCACCGCACCTCTGCCCAGGTCAGCACAGCTCGCAGTGGAGAGCTCATCCCTGCTGCCCTGCTTCTCTCCCCAGGTGATCCTGAAGGACCTGGAGGTGCTGGCAGAAATCGCTTCCTCCCCTGCGGGCCAGACGGATGACCCAGGGCCCCTCGATGGCCCTGACCTCCGGGCCAGCCACTCAGAGCTCCAGGTGCCCACCCCTGGCAGAGCCGGCCTACTGAACACCTCCGGTAAGTTTTCTCCTGAAGGTTCCAGCCTCAGGGGCCTTAGTGCCAGTGCCGGTCTTGGGCTGGACCACGGCGGTCCTTTGGGTTGTTGCTCAGGAGCTCTGGAGCTCGGCCAGGATGTGAGGGGTCTGTGGGTTGCTGCTGGCAATCTCCCACCTCAAGAACCCCCAGAGGCAGGCAGCTCTCATCCTCTAGCAGCCTCCAGAGACCCTCACAGGACTTTCTCCGCATTTCCCTGCACCTTTGATGCCTTTGAGCCACTGACTAAACATAAAACCATCTGGGTCGGCTGCTGGTCTCTCTGCCTGGGCAGCACCTCTCCAGTCTGGTATCCAGGGGCTTTGGTCTTGGGGTCTCACAGGTGGAATACTAGGTGGCCATTCCCTTTCTCTCTGAGAAGCTAAAAATAGTGGCAGGCAGCACAGGCAGGAGACGGCATTATTCTCACAGGCTGTTTCTGGGCAGTCCTTGGAAGTAAAGGTGGCTATAGCATCCCTAGCGCTCGTCCCTCAGTCCCTTCCAGATGGCAGGGACTCTTCTCCCTGGACCCTGGCAGACGCCACTTCCCTCTGGCGATGCAGTCCTGGAAAATGCCTGGGGACACAGTTGGTAGGAAAGTTCCCAGTGAATCTCAGGTGTCTCCATGGGGGTCTCTGTCCTTTGTGTCTGGAATTTACTCCTTCCCATGGGTTCGTGGTCTCGCTGACTTCAAGAATAAAGCTACAGACCTTTGCAGTGAGTGTTACAGCTCTTAAAGGTGGTATGGACCCAAAGAGTGAGCAGCAGCAAGATTTATTATGAAGAATGAAAGATCAACGCTTCTTTGTTTGGAAGGGGACCCAAGAGGGTTGCTGCTGCTGGCTCGGCCAACCTTTATTCCCTTATTTGGCCCTGCCCATGTCCTACTGGTTGGTCCATTTTACAGAGTGCTGATTGGTGCATTTACAATCCTTTAGCTAGACACAGAGGGCTGATTGGTGCATTTTTACAGAGTGCTGATTGTTGCATTTACAATCCTTTGGCTAGACACAGTGCTGATTGGTGTGTTTTTACAGAGTGCTGATTGGTGCATTTACAATCCTTTAGCTAGACACAGTGCTGATTGGTGCGTTTACAGTCCTTTAGCTAGATACACAGTGCTGATTGGTGTGTTTTTACAGAGTGTTGATTGGTGCATTTACAATCCTTTAGCTATACACAGAGCACTGATTGGTGTGTTTACAATCCTCTACCTAGACCGAAAAGTTCTCCAAGTCCCCTCTCGACCCAGGAAGTCCAGCTGGCTTCACCTCTCACTTTGATGCAGCCTCATGCATCATAGAGGTTTAGGGGCCTTGCAGCCTCAGCCTCCCCTCACAGCCCAGCCATGCTGGTCTCAGCCTGAGAGTACCTCCTTGGCCTCAGTGGGAGGTGCCCCAGCCCTGTTTGGTGCTAAGACAAGGCCCAGTGCCTGAGAAGTTCAAGGGGCGGCCAGAGCCCCGCAGGCCTACCTGTGCCCCAGGACATGCCAGGTCAAGTCATAGAAGGCCCATGTGGGGCCTTGCCCAGGAGCCCAGTTCTAGGCAGTCAGTGGCCGTGAACTGACACCAAGGGAAAGAACACCAAGGGAAGTGGTTCCCACATCCTGACCCTGGGACCCCTGCTGGGAATCCCACCCTCTACCCCTCGGCAAGCAAGTCCATTCTCCATCCTCTGTCCCCAAGTCAGCACATGGGGACCAACCTTAAGTCCTTGGGACAGATGGCAGGAATGCCAGAGGTGGAGTGTGGGGGCCCAGTGAAGGGGATGGACAAAGAAGAGAGAAGAGAGAGCTCTTCCTTAGGAAGGGAGGGTCTGGTGGGGAGGAGCAGCAAGAACTGACCGGAAGATGGGCAGTAGCCAAGAGGAGACATCCTGCAGGGAGGAGGCCCAGGCAGAGGATCCCTGGGGGTGCGCCCTAAGCTCTCCCTCCCCAGGAAGCAGGCGCCACAGCCTCTTCACTCCTTCTCAAATTGGCAGCCGCAGAGGACTTGAAGGCAGCACAGCCTTGTGACAGGGCCAGGACACCCAGGCCTCCCAGGCCCTCTGTGACCGGTCTTCCCTGTGTTTTATCTCTTCCTCCTGGGCACAGAGAAGTTGATGACTGTGATTTGGGCTCCTGCTCATGGAAGGAGGACCAGGAAACTGCTGAGGGCAGCCGGGGCTGGAGGGAGTAGGGTATGTGCCCTGGGGGAGCAGAGCCTGACCCAGGGGGTCCCTGGCAGGCCCTGCAGCATCAAGCCCTTTGCGCTGCTCGGGCACCAGGGCCGGGGGCACTATATGGCAGGGCACTCTGAACCCCAGCTCCTGGCCATGCCAAGATGGGCGGGCTGTGAACGAGGCTACGGCAGTAGAGACTCTTGCCCCAGCTCACCGAGGCTGTCAGATTAGCTCACATCAGCCAGGGACTCACTCGGAATTCATAGAAAAACAGCAAAGCATGCCAGATGGAAGAAACTCCGTCCTGGAAAGAACACCAAGGAAGTGCCTGCAGCCAGTCACACTTCTTGCTTCAAGAATCCACAGCCAAGGAGCAGTGGGGGCTGCGGGAGGAGAATCCACAACTCTTGTGGGCCAGGAGCTCTTAACCTGAGTCTCACGTGTGGGCCTCAAGGCTCCAAGCAGATCCACGTGTGTGCACATGCGTATGTCCACAGCTGGCATCAGATTTTACAAATGGGGCCATGATTTTAAAAGGTCAGCTCAAACCAGTAAGAGAACAGCTGAGGAAGCCAGAGTATGCCCTGCCCCCCTCTCCCACCTCCACTGCCCTGGAGGGCATGCGCCAGGCACTGAGGGTGTGTGGGGTGGTGCTGAGGTCAGAAGGCAAGCAGAAAGTGCACACTCAATCCCTCCTCGAGCTGCTCCTTCCCAGACTGCTTCTCAGGCATGCAAGGGGCTCGTTCTGTCTGTTTCCATCTGGCCGTGCACATGGACAAGACTGTGAAGCCATACCCTCTTCCTGTTTGGATTCTGCCTGCCTCTGGCTCTCCAGGGCGCAGCCCTGAGAACTTGGAGAACTTGGAGGCAGCAGTGCTGTGTCCCTGTAGGGGAGATTGCCCCAAAGGCACGAAGGGACTGTCTGGAAAGCCTCAGAGGCAGGGAGCCTAGCAAAGATGAAGTTGGTGGCATCTGTAGGGAACCAAATGGTGCGGATCACACAGCAGTGGAGAAGCAAGCCCATCACACGCCTGGGTAGCTACTGTGTTGGCCTAAATGCACCACAGCCGTGGTTCCCAAGGCCCCCCGAGGCAGAGTCGCCCACATGGGATTTTCCTCTCGCCTGTCCTAGCATAAACATCTCCCCTCCCTCGCAGAGCCGTGAAGGCAGAGGCTTCTCCCGCCCTGCCTCCCTCATTGCTGACCCGTGCAGAGCCCCAGCATGGGGGAGAGAATGGCCTGGGGGCAAACAGGATGGGGAGCGGCCTGGGTGGGCAGCTCTGCGGGAAGCTGGCTGAGGGACACCATGCTTTCCTGTCTCCCACCCTTAGGGTCTCCTGTGTCTCCTCCTTTTGTATTTCCTGTCTCCACTCAGGGGAGTCTGCGGAGGTCCTGCTGGCTCTGGGGACAGGGATGTCAAACAGGCCTGTGGGCCTGCCATACCCTGAGCCTGTGCAGAAAGCTTCGAAGAACAGAGGAGGCCTCTGGGATCAGCCCTTTGTTAGAGACATGCTTGGACTCCTGGGGCCTGGACATCTCTGCTGCCAGAGAGGGTGCAGCCAGGCCTGGGGAGACCCAATCAGCCTTTAGGATCCTTGGCCGTGCACAGCAGTGTGTCAGTCTGAGGCCAAAGGTCACCCTAGGACTGATGTTCACCCCTAAAACCCAGTCTTCCCTGACTTTGCCTGCTACGGGGCCCATTGCTGCTGGGATAAAAACCGTTCTTGTCACCAGCCACATTGACTCACTCCTATAATCCCAGCGCTTTGGGAGGCTAAGGCAGATGGATCACCTGAGGTCAGGAGTTTGAGACCACCCTGGCCAACATGGTGAAACCCCACCTCTACTGAAAATACAAAATTTAGCCAGGCATGGTGGTGCATGCCTGTAATCCCAGCTACTTGAGAGGCTGAGGCAGGAGAATCACTTGAACCCAGCAGGTGGAGGTTGCAGTGAGCCGAGATCGCACCACTGCATTCCAGCCTGGGCAACAGAGCAAGACTACATCTCAAAAAAAAATAAAATAACTGTTCATGTCAGTATACCTTGCGGGGCTCAGTGGCCCAAGGTGTTTTTACCCCTGACTCTAAAAATGGGTAATAATGACATGTTCTTATTTGGTTTCATTCTTTGTAGCCCAGGACAGTCTATTGTAGCCAAATGTCAGCAGCATCTTCATGTCACCAGACAGGAAGAAGATCTAGCAGAAAGCCAGAAAGCCATTTTCCCCAGTAATCACGGCAGCAATCATCATGGCTGCCAGAGCTGGCTGAGGTCACATTAGGCCCTCCCCTGCTCTGAGCACTCACGTGTGCTGACTTTCTGGGTGAGCCCCTGGGCTCCTCGCAGCAGCTCGGAGAGGCCAGCACTGTGTCATTCCCCACTTGTTTGGGCCAGGAGCCTAGCCCGAGAGCCCACACTCCTCACCCTACTCTCAGGAATCCCACCTGCGCCAGGCACTGGAAGCTTCTATGGCCAGAGGGGAGGAGGAGAGGGGCCAGGCCATGGCCACAGCCTGGCAGTGATGGGGGCATGTCTCCTCTCTTCGCAGTGACTTCAGAGACCCCTTCCTGGCCTCAGGTCACGGCAGTGCCTCATCTCTTGTCTTTTGCTGCCTGCCACCACTTCCTCCAGCCACACCAGCCCCAGGAAAGCACTGCCTGTTTCTCTTGAAGCCCTTTCCTCCCACTCACCCCTCCCAGCCTCAGGAAGCAGCATTAGGGATCACAGGCACTGGGGTCAGAGGAATCTAAGTTCACAGCCCTGCTCTGCCCATCCATCCTATGACTTTGGACAAGGGTCCTACTTCACTGCCCCCTCTTCCC